CAGCCGCCTCTTCACTGTAGATGTTGACACTGGTGTTTTGCGGGTACTATTTAATGAAGATGCCAGTTGGGGACCTGTGAGGCGTCTGTTTCTCAAACTAGAGACTCTAATGTACTTATCTTCTTGCTCAGTTGTGCAACGCGGCCTCCCACTTCTTTTTCTACTCTGGTTAGAGCCTGTTTGTGCCGTCCTCTGAAGGGAGTAGTACACACCGTTGTAGGAAATCTTCAATTTCTTAGCAATGTCTCGCATGGAATAGCCTTCATTTCTAAGAACAAGAATAGACTGTCGAGTTTCAGATGAAAGTTCTGTTTTTCTGGCCATTTTGAGCGTTTAATTGACCCCACAAATGTGATGCTCCAGAAACTCAATCTGCTCAAAGGAAGGTCAGTTTTGTAGCTTCTGTAACGACCTAAACTGTTTTCAGATGTGTGAACATGATTGCACAAGGGTTTTCTAATCATCAATTAGCCTTCTGAGCCAATGAGCAAACACATTGTACCATTAGAACACTGGAGTGATAGTTGCTGGAAATGGGCCTCTATACACCTATGTAGATATTGCACCAAAAACCAGACATTTGCAGCTAGAATAGTCATTTACCACATTAGCAATGTATAGAGTGTATTTCTTCAAAGTTAAGACTAGTTTAAAGTTATCTTCATTGAAAAGTACAGTGCTTTTCCTTCAAAAATAAGGACATTTCAATGTGACCCCAAACTTTTGAACGGTAGTGTGTATATATATATATATATATATATATATATATATATAGTATAGTTACAGTGCATTACATACATGTATAGTTACATTAAGGGGAGCCTTAAGATAATTGTTTGGAGAGAAAGATTTTTATAGTTTTAGGTAGGTAAAATTCTGAGGTTATAAGTTCACATTTCTAGCTCGCTAGAAAGCGCATTTTTTACCTCAGACTTTCTGTTAATGAAGTTCCAGCAACCTGACTATTTAAAAGTCTGAGAAATAAATTATAGGAAAGCTAATAACATAAGGCAAGGCAAGTTTATTCCTGCAACATAGGTCTATAATCCTCTTGCTTTTAACCAGCTACTTGTAGTTTATTTTATCTTTAATTTGCATATATTAAAGTGATTTCACTCCATAGAGGAGGCATCTTACCCCATGTGGAAAATGACTTTTCCCTAGAAAATACATTTGATTAAATTCTAATTCATTTGTCAACTGTAGGTATTTATTTTACTTTATATTATGTTACCCTAAGCATGGCCATTTCCAAGATACAAAAAAACTATGAAATATTATTTTATGTGTCAGCAAATAGACATAGAGCTTAAGGGGGGCCCCACTCTACCCTACAATGAAATATCGGGATGGACGATGACATCGGGCGGGTCGGCTCATGTGCATGTGTTCACTCGCACAGACTCTTTAAATAACTTGGGAGCCTAGTTTGTAACTATTAAGTTACCTTACAAGTCACGGTGGATATTTAGCAAGTCACGGACCAGGTAAAGCAGCAGTGAACACACAGAGTGCAGATGTTGGTTTCGGCTGTAGGCCACGTCATTAACAATGAGCCAACATGCGGCTCACCTGCTGCCATGTAAACGGATAGCGGGTGAAAAAAAAACCGGATAATAATAATGTTCGTGGTGATTAAAACCTGCTTTCACAGGGCGGCATAACTGTGAAAAGTTTAGATAAGGGGTTTAAAATAAAGAAAACTATCATTAAAGCCAATAAAACAGCACCCAGCCTCAAAAACATAGTGTAATAATTGACTCTCTTACACAGTGTGAGGTATGATTTTATTATTATTATTTGATTTTAGATTAAGTTACAGGCATTTTCTATTTTTAGTCACCAGACTCCTTTGACAAAACCATAATTTAACCTCGCAGAACACGGGAGTTGCTGGTCTGCTCGGTCAGTTAGTTTGTTTGTTTTTGTGGTGTTTTTGTTTGTATGCCCCGTCAAAGTACGCACACTAAAGGGCTTGTTTTTGCCCCTGACAGGCTCAGGTTGTTATTATAAGTGTCTGACAACAGCAGAGATTGTTGCTGGGATCCTGTTTTTAAAGAGTAAGATCCTCTTTGTGTAATCAGAAACAGTCACTGTCGTTAAGCCACCAGACTAGAAAATTCTACCTAGCAGAACGCTGCCTCGGCCAGTTAGTTTGTTTGTCTTATTGTGACCAAAACACCAAAGTCACACAATAACACAAACTAACTGATCGAGGCAGCTGTAGACCAGAGAGGTAAAATTAAATTTTTTGTCAATGGAGTTTGGTGGCTTGGACGAGAGCAATAAAACTTACCCTTTTAAAAAAGCTCTGTCTCATCAGCGATCCTTTCCATACTGTTGTCAGACACTTTCAATCTGAGCCTGTCAGTGGCAAAAAACACTTTAGTTGGTCCCACTTTGACTGGTCCCAATTGCCCCAAAAAGGATTGCCCTGTTTCATTTCTGCCGACTGCACAATACTGTCCCAATTAGTCACATAGACAGTTTGCAAAATACCGAACATGTTAATGTCAGTAAAACCGACAACCTGAAGTCTGAAGGTCTCTCTGTACAAGCTTGTTTGACGAAGCAAATGACCCATCCCCTCCTTGAAATTTAAACTTAACCACGCATACGCACATGTCCTTGCACACACACACTTACATCCACATTAATATATATATCTTCATGGTGTCTTACAAGAATGTACACAGTGCAAAGAAGAGGTACAGCATTAATAATGCACGTACAAACGCGTACACATTCAGTTATACACACACACACGCACGCTGACAGGCCTGTGTATCTGTTTACCTCAGGTTTGTATAGACATGTCAGATTTGCCCAGTCATGGAGAACAGGGGAGAGGCCAGTGTTGTCCTCTCGTGTCCCAGGCCTTTTCTCTTACTTTTACCTCCCTCTACTTCTTCTCCTTTTTCTCTATTTCCAATCAGCAGTCACGAAGTTGTGTTTTTCTTCAACAAAAAACAAACGATTTTTTTTCCCCATCAGAAAGACATTTGGGATAAAAGTTTGTTTGATATTATTGATATTTCGTCTTAACTGCTAAAGAAAAGAAGAAAAAGGTGGCAGTTGAGGATGCTGTGAGTCACTAGTGGATATTACTTTACACACATATTATTAGCATGCATATTAGCAACATTTTGGTAATTATATGTTTAAAACAAAAGGTTCTGTTCTGTTAATGTTCTCGTGCACCAGCATTTCTTTCACTTTCACTCTTCACCTCTTGTCTTTGTTCTTTCTCTCCTTCATGCTCAACTGACCGTCAGTAATGCCTAGCTGATACTGTTCTTACTCTGTGGGTGCCAGACTTCGTGTCTGCTGCTTGTGTGCTTTTCTAGGGCTAGCCAGAAATATTACCAGAATAAAAATGGTCAATATCGTTATGTCTTTCAACTTTAAAGGCTGAGTTTTGTTTATCGTCAGAACAAACATGTTTTACAAATCTAAGATAGAGTTTGGGCTTTTAGGAAGGAACAAGAGCTGCTAAGGAAAGGGGTTAATAGCACAAGACAAAACTCCACAAGAGCTCCATTGCGAAACTGGATGCGGCTTTGGTTTCATCTCGATTTTCTTGTTTTCATAATGGTTGAAAGCCAAAGTCAAACAAAATTGGATGAAACGCCAAGCCCCTACAACATCGCACTGACTGTTTATTTTCCCTTGTTCTAGGGCTGGACAATATAACAAATGTTCAATAAATATTCAATAAATGTTTATTTACTTGAATCATACATGATTTTTTTTTTATTGATTTTTTTTTTATTGAGATATTTATTTTGTTGAGGATAAAAGACTGAAAAAGGCTTTTACTTAATTTTACCCGTGCATATTTGTTGACAAAAATTTTATCATAGTTGCTTTGAATGTTCTTCCTCAAATTTCTGAAGTGGTCCACTGTTTGGCATCAAGCGTTGCCCATAAAGAAGAGTTTAAACCACAAAACTAACAATCAATCTCCGGTACTGCAGCTTCATACTATTGCAACTTTCACTCAGGAGCAAAAATCAGCCTTTAAACTCTAAAGAAATAGCGATTTGATACTTATAGTGATAATATCGAATGATATGAAACATTTTATCGTGATAACATTTTTGGCCATATCGTCCAGCCTTACCTTGTTCCTATTCTGAGAAGCCTGAAGTCTGAATAAAGCTCATTATCATAACCTTTATTGATGAGGCTTTTGGAACAGCATCACTTAGCTGGGAGGTTTTTCTGTTTGTAGCTTTACAGATTTGGATATTGGGCGATTCTGCACCTCATGATTCATGTCCAATGCCATTTTTCTGTGCCTATTCAGGAAGTAGTGCGTTCTTTTTGTAGTGACATGGAATTAAAATTGTGATGTTGAATTGTGAATCTGAGTGAGCACACCGTCGCTATTTGTGTTTGCTTTTTTTGCAACCTTTATCTTCCCTTCAGCCTGACGTATGACGATGTACTGTACTCGATAGATTGGAATATTTAAAACATTGGCACTGAAAGTAAAAACATCGGTATTGAAAGTTAAAACATTTTGTCATTGAATGTAAAGTCAAGGTTTGACGAATTGCCCAAAATCAAGCCAAAGTCCTGCTTTTCGTCCGGAGTACCTGGTGTTCCACTAGCCTCCGGTGCACAATGACTTTCACAAACATGTTCTTTCTTTTTTTCTCTTTAATAACAGCAGAAACATAACTCAGTAATTACATCTCCAGATAGACTGTTTATATTCAGTCCATATTGTTGGCTGAATGTGTAAAATTAAATATGCATTTCAAATAACCAGAGGTGGTTATCCACTAGCAGTCCATCCTGTCAGATCTCTTCTCATTGTCTGGCCTGTTAAAGCATTGATTTTAATCTCCATAATAGCTGAAGAGCAGAATTTATAAGGGCTCTCAAGATTTTGACAGGTGACTTCTGAAAAGAGCAACAGAGATCATGTTTTTAACTGGTGCATTGTGAAACAGAAGCTATTTTCTGACTGTTTGCTGTTGTGTCTCCTCCAGGTTTGAAAAGGAGTCAGGACAGCCACTGGACCAGTCGACTGCGACAGCGATGCCTTCTAACAAATACTCTGCTGCTATCATGGAGGAGAGCAACAACATGACTGCCACTGTGAGTCTGACACACACTCGCACAGGTTTCACAACAGCCAGGAGAGGTCACAGTTCTGGTGTGTGAATGGAAATAAGAGAGTTAAAGCCAAATCGTTTAAAACAAACCACAGCCCTCTCATTAACACCCGCATCCACAGACACACACACACTCCCTGAACTGCTTTCTGAGCCAGCTGTGGTTTAAAAGAGTGTGTGTGTCAATGCCAAGGCAGATGCCTGGACAAGAGTGCCAGCATGTTATATGAGTCTAATTGAGAATGCATGCTGGCTGTGAGAGTGTATGCATGCACACAAACACAAACACACACACACACACACACACACACACACCACAGCTGCATCTGCACAAAGAGGAAATGGAAAATGTGGGATAGATAGAAGGATGGAAGCAGCAAAGGAGAGAAGGAGGAGAGGAAGCAAGGAAGGAGGCGAGAAAGAGGGATGGACGAGATTAGTGCAGCACACTAGCGTCTTTATATTCCCCGGAAATGGGTGCACTTCAAGTATGTAAAGGAGAAAAGACACACATACAGTTACACACATAATTCTTTCATTTCAGACACTCTGCAGAAAGTTTCACAATCTGTACACACACTTTGTTTCACGTGTACCCACACACACTTTCGCTCTTATACACACACCTAATCCTGTTGTCCGTTACTACTACTTCTTCTTTTTCAGTCTCATTTATCACTCTGTCTGAGAGGGATTTCACCATCTGCCTTCTTTTCTTCTCTCATCTGTTCACTCAACATCACCACTTTATCTTGCTGCTCCTTCGGCCTCTCCTTCTCTCCATCTGTCTTAATTTTCTTCTTATCATCACTGTACTGATCTCTCTTCTGTTTGTTTACTTGTCTCCACGTTAACCGGTTTAGTCTTATCGTGTGTGATGTGAAGACTGGAGTCTGGAGGTATTCACTTCAAGTTTAGACAGCTTGGCGGTAGGCAGGTAGTTACTTATCGCTTTTTCAGATCGCACACTTAAGTTTGCACTTAAAGTGACATGATCTGGTGGACACTTCCTGTGTCAGGAGTGCAGATTGTTTTCATAGGCAGTGTTTCTCTACCTGTGGAGCTGGCGGTAGGGGAGTCTTCTGTCAGGAAGGCGACGGCACCAACACACTGGAAAGGTGCAGAATTTAGGAAATAGTGGATTGAAGTGGTTGAAAGTTCAGAGGTCCTTTTAGTAACTGTTCTGGAGCTTCTAATCATATCACTTGAACTCTGAACTTCAGCCCGTAAGCCAGCATTGACGACTGGCTCAGGAAAAATGACTTGGTAAACATCATCCTCTGATAAAGATCGTGTGATATGATCGAAAGCTCCAGACCAGCTACTTAATGGAACGTGTTGAAGATTGTTTTCCCTCAATTCATAAATACATTGTGTCCCATCGCCGCCATTTTAAGTGTAACTGAATTTAAAACAGTACCTAAGAGCAGAAATTAGAAGGTTTAAGAGACTCTGATCTTAACATATCTGGCATTTTACCATCTTCGGATTGGATACTCAGAACTAGCAATTATAGTTCAAGTAACGATTAATTTTAAGTCAGAAAATGTGTATCACCTCTTCCAAAGCCCTCCCTAATATTACATTATTTAATTAACCTTTAGTCTATTTAGTCAAAGATGACTCAGAAGAAAAGCTTGACATTTTAAAGAGAAAATAGACCTGAAACACTGATCTTACGTTTGGCTGAGCCTCTTTCAGATTCTCTGGTTTCATGGTTTGTCCATTCAAAAGCAGTATTTTATAAGATTGTTGGGCTTAACTGAAGTTTGGACTCACAGAAAGGTGTTTAGCCTCTGGGGTGGTTTGGGGTCAGATATGTATCTAGGCCTGAGTTGTGTAGACGAACATCGGGGTCACAGAGGACACATTCTTAGTTTCAGCAGCAAGCCTGAGGGCGGAAAGAGAAAACACAGCCTGAATGTGAAAGACGGTGTCAGCAGACTGTCTGTGGGTAAATAAAAGTAAATAAGACTTTTGGTTTGGGAGGGAGTTCACCTGTGGTCGGCTGCTTCAGCTTTACGTGAACTTTGCAGCCCCTGTGCCTTCCTCAAAGACACTCTGTTGGGCAGTCGTGGCTGAAATACCCCTTGTTAATTAGATTAATTTAAGATTGAGCTGAAGCACACAGAATGTAGATGTCAGGCTCCAAGACTACATGTGAAATAGTTTTGACACAAAACAGTAATGATACAGAAAAATGTAGTCAGATAATTTAATGCAGAGAGGAAGTCCATTTTGATTTCCCAAGTTGTATTAAAGGTACGTCAGACTCAGCCAACACTAGGTCGGCCATTTGCAAATGACTGTTGACTAATTATGGCTTCACACTAAATGCCATTCATGCCTGTGTTTTCAATGAGCTCCAGGAGCGACAGTGTTGCACGATGTCGTGATTTACGGACTCTGACCTCCGCAATCTGCGACTGGCTTTCCCTCAGTGGTTGGAGTTACGGTTACGGTTGGGTGTAGCAGAGACACATGGCTGGCGGTAGGGATAAGGTTCATGATTCAGGGGCCAAATATATTGTGTGTCCTTGAGGTCTAACAAATGGGGTGAATGTATTTCCGTCGTCTTAAACATGTTTTTTCTAGTTTGAAACCTGCTTTGATTACGTCCACGTTTGCTTGCTAGCAGGCTTCTTCTCTACTGCACATTTATCAGACATAAACAAAGGCTCTCGCAGGAATGTGTATTACGTCGTCTAGAAAACAAAATGTTGACCCACTCAAAAAAATAACTGCAGGTTTCCTTTTACGATAAGGAAAAACACACATCGATAGGGAAACAAACTTCTAGACAGCACCGGCATTGATGAGAGTCAGAGGATGTGACTGCACTAATTTCACTGTCAAAAAAAAGATAAGCTGAATCTTTGAGTTGTGCACCTCTGGGGGATACTGGGTTCGAAAATTACTATCACATACTAGGCTTCATTCCACTCTCTCTGCATCACAGGCAAAATGGCCGGAAGCACAAATGTAAAACTAATCATGCCACTTTTTATTTCTCAGTTACTTGTTAACAAAAGATAACTCTCTCAGAGCTTTAAACCCCACCAGGTGATGATTTACTGCACACAGCGTATTGGAACAGACCTGTTCAGATATTAGCCACAGACTTGCGTTTCTAATCATTTAGGCTTTGCTAAGATGTTTTGACAGAGCGCCGCAGGGCAGACTGTTACGCACTGTGGAATGTTTGTGTGATGTAGGCCTGTGAAATCTACAAAGTGCAAGGCTTTACACACTGCTTCACCACACACACGCATAAAAAAATATATATATATATATATAGTGCAGGATAAGTGATCTGGAATAGCAGATGTTCCACACACCTGAATCAGCGGTAGTGGTATAATAAATAGTAATATTGGTAGTTGTTTGGGAGTATTTGTTCCGTAAGAGGGAGCAAAAAGGGAGGCAGAGGGGGGAGAAAAGGCTCATTTGTGCTACTTTAATGCTTCGTTGGGCTCGGTCATTTCTGCCAGCAACAAAGAGAAGAGTGATGGGTATTCAGGGAAGGCAAGTTAAAGGATGATAATGGTGATATTTGGATACACAACAACCTGACTTACATCAAATCCAATTTTCTGTACACCTCTATAAAACTAAACGCAGTCAAACATTACCTGAGAAAGGAGTTGGGGCAACGGATGCGAAGGATTTCTGTGACCAAAAATATCATGAAACAACTTATTTTAGCAGCTTGCTCCGTCTCTCCAGGCATTTGTAGCCACAAAACCTTCTCCTCTGCTGCTTTTCTGTGTGTGCTGTGCTGCTGGAGTTTCCCCCCCCAGGGCGTTTACAAAAGACAACCTGGTCTGGTTTTGTCCTAACAGAGAGAAAAAGAGAGAGCAGCAGCTAGGATTTGAAGAAAATTAGTTGAAAGGAGAAAATGAAAGAAGAGGGGTAACAAGAAAGTTGGGGTGAGGTAGAAAGAAATAAGAAACAAGAGAGTTTTGTTTCTGTCCAGCCGTCCAAAGTGAATTTAGTGAATTTTAAGTGAATTTTCTGTTGTTGTTGCAAGCAGTTTAGTTTGTTTATACCAGCCGGGTTGGAGCAAATAGAATAAAACTTTCTGTAAGACACAGTTACTACAGTTTGCTAATCACATAATCACTTGAATGAGAACTAGCTGAATCAAGAAAAAAACTCTTGTCATTCAGAGAAAGAGAAATGGATCCAGTCTCAGGACTTTTTAAAAATGTGTCCATGGGTGCTTTCACATCTGTAGTTTGGGTCATTTGCTCTGGACCACGGGCAAAAAAAATGATAAATTATAGCATTTTTCAGCCTTTTCAGTCTCTATTTCACAGCACACTGTTTGCTCTGGTCCGAATCAGTCGATGAGTTGGTAAAATGAACCAAGAAGCAGCAACACAAGTCACATGACAACATTCACATCACTCGTTCACATCACAGACAGCATGCCGCTTTTGCAAGTCCTACTAAGGAGGGACAACTGTGCGGGTTGATTGTAGCCGTCAGACTAAATTTCTCACGACTCCAAGTTTGTCTGTGAGTTGCCGCGGGGCTTCAAGGAGGTCTCCACCCTGCTAGTGCGATTCAACCAAAATAAATGAGGCAAGTGTGAAAGCCCCCTAAGTTGTTTTATTCATAAGCTTAGCTCAGCACAACGACTGGAAACAGTTAGCCTGACTCTGTCCAACAGCAACACAATCCACCTACCACCACCTCTAAACCTCACTGGTTAACTCTTATTTGTTTAATCCGTACAAAATCTTTTTTGTGTAAGCGTATATAAATAGTGTATTTCCCAAAATGCACACTGTGTAAATTGATAACGTCAACAGCACAAACAGTTTTTCTACAGTCTGACTGTAGCGTTTGATTTGTCATCATCGTGTGTTTTTTTAGTGGGATATTTAAAGTGCAAGTAATAACAGAGATAGATATTTATAGCGTGCTAAAAGGAAGTGGGCAGCAGCTTTGGAAGTAGAGGGAGATTGTTGGAGGTGG